AAGACACAGCATCTAATGAAAAAATAAACTCCCAGTCCTATCTGCTGATTTCTATAATTTCTGAGGAAAGAGGTATTTGGAGTTCAAGGGAAGGAGAGATATGGCAACAAAGTAGGGATTGTCCAATAAAGTCAGCCCATCTCTGGTGAAGAGCAGAAATACACCTAGAGTGGAAATATACTATGGTTTTGAACCAGGTTATGAATGGGCAGCTGACATTACGGGGAAGGGATAAGGTGTTTCTTTCTCTCAGTTCATTTCCCTTACATCATGATCCTTCACAAACTCTAAGCCAGTCTCCATAATCATAGATCCCATCTACCATGTTCCTGTGACCCCTGCTACACCCTTCTTCCCCTCTACCCCATTCCTGATGTTGGTGAATGAGAGTGTGTCTGCTAAATACCAAGGGTAAGGGATAAGCTCTCTGGAAGATAGACTATTCCCTCCCACAGAATGACTGGACCCAACTGGAGAAGACTTTAGGCTCTCTTGGAAATGTAGAGTGAGCCAGAGGCTCACAGAAAGATCACTCATACATGCTAGCTGAGTGGGAACCCGAGACCTAACTTCCTCCAGTCAAGCCCACCTCAATAGACAATTAGTGATGTCCCAGGGTCTCTGACTATAGTAATAATCCTCTCCCTGCGGGGTCTCTCTCCCCATAAGACCTTGTGTCCCAAGAACCAAGGTCTCTCCTAGAGGTACTCATCCACCTCATGCTCAGGTGAATTTACCCCAATTGCTATAATGGCTTGTTAGGTAAGTCAGGAAGTATAGAATTCTGGCCTCAGAATTAAAAAGACCTGGATTCAAAACCTGCCTCTGAAACTTACTGGCAGCATGACCTTAGTCAACTCTTGAACTCTATGAACCTCGGTTTCCTCATCTGTAAAATGAAAGGGATAGACTAGACAAAGAATAAGGTCTTCTCAGTTCTAAATCTACAATCCTAGGACCCCTCTGACTTTGTTGAACTGAACCATTTTGTTCAAGGAAATAATTCATGGAACTCTGCTACCTTTTGCCCCACTATGGGGAAAGAGGAGGAGAAGAGGCTTTTTGTTAATGAATATCAAGGTGGGGAAAAATAAGATCTGGAATTCTAACAAGAAATACTTATCTCCTATATCCATTCACAATTTCCCTACTAAGCAATTAATTTGTGAAAACCAGCTGGAAACCAGCATGGATTAACAGAAGTTAAGAGAAGGAAGGAGATGACAGTCCTGAGGAATCCAGATATTTCCAATCTACTTTATCAAGTTTTACACATTTTCATATAGGATTTATCTAGCTTGGTTAAAAACACATAAATACTTGTGCTTTTTGGTATTAAGAATTCAAAGCACATTAAATGTTTAAAAGGAAATGTTACCAGTTAAATTTGTTATCTGCACCAGCCGAAGGACAAGAACGCTAAGGACATGAAGTGACATTACTCTCCCTTTCCCAGCTGAATGCTGAGAGCATCTGAAGGTGAAGTGCTATAATCGGCAGAGATTTAGGAGGATAAAGAAAATGAAAGGTGACTGCTAGATGTCCTAGAGTACCAATCTGTCAGGGAGGAAAGGATGACTAATTTTTCTACAACCACAAAAAACAGGTATTATATACAAGAAAGGGGGGGGGGAGCTTAGAGAAAGGAGAAGAGAGAACAGGAATGTGTAGAACCATGCTCTTAGCCTTCTGCAAGCACATTCAATATTTTATTAACTTTTCATTAGTTTTAAGACTCCTGCCAGGATTCCTTTGGCTGAAAGCAAGTATGAACCTGTGTCACGGGAGAGAAAAAAGGGTGAGTCGGTAGGAACAGTGAACGTAGAATTTCTAAGTAACTTTTTGATATTATCACAGAGCAAAGTTTATTCTGCAAAATATTTTAGAATTGGGCTATATGATCCCAAAGGTCCCAGCAATCATCATCAGAAAAAAAGCTGTTATATTATTAAAATTAACTACCAATTGATGGCTTCAAAGGTGTGGAAATAAAGCATTACTTTTTTTCCTCCTATTTTAAGACCCCCATCTGAAATCTCAAGGTTAGAGAAAACACAATGGATTTCTCTTGATATTATTTACAATTTAAATTGATCATCATTTGCTAGTTATCTCCATGCCATATTCCCACCTCTCAAGCCATCACCCACACTTCCTCCCCCGTGGAAAATTGGACTTTATCCCTGGAACTGCTCTTGGACTAGTTTTTTGGCCTCATCTCTCAAAATCCAGGTGTCCACAGTACTTTCAGGCTGTCTGTACACCATGACAGCTCTACTCAGGCCATCACACCTGTCTCCTACAATTTCCTTGTATTTGTTGTCTTCTCCCATTAGAATGTAAGCTCCCGGAGAACAGAGATTGTCTTGTTTGCTTGTTTTCATATCCCCAGAGTTTAGAATGGTGTCTGGGACACAACAATAATAACAATTATTACTATTATTTATTATTATATAGCTTAATAAATGCTATGTGTCTATATATCTCTCATCTTTCTCTTTCTGTCTATCTATCTATCTATCTGTCTGTCTGTCTGTCTGTCTGTCTATCATCATTACCATAGATTTAGAGCTATAAGAACTCTTAGAAACCATCTAGGATCTCCCACCTCTTTTTTAATATTGAAAAAAACTAAGACCTAGAGAAGTAGATTTCGACTTTCTGTATGACTTTCTTAAGGTCACTTAGGTACTAAGTGGCAAAGCTGGGATCTTACTAACGACCTCTGCCTTCAAATCTAATACTCTTTTCACTTTTCTAAGCTGTCTCCACATATATCAAGTGGAAGTCAGGACGGAAACCAAATAATTAAAAAATATGCAGAGGTGGAGATGCAAGCTGGTTAAGAGCAGTGGTGTCAAATTCAAATAGAAAACTATACATAAGGATCCCTGCAGGTACATGTTGACTTAGAAAACCACATATTAACATTATCTATGTTCTACTGTATTTTTATTTATTTTGAAAAATAATATTTCCCAATTACATTTAATCTGGTTCAGTCACAGTTGGTAGTGTGGTAGGCAATGTGCATGATGCCTCTGTTCTAGACAAAAAGGCAGGAGATATGAGTTCTATTCCTGACTCCATTATTACAAAACAAAGGTATAAAGGTGGGAAAATCACATACCTATTCTCCTCCACTTTATTCTCAAAGGGTTACATTAGGGAATAACGAATGAGATCATAGATTTTCAGACTTGGCATGAACTTCAAAGATCATCTATTTCAACTCTGAAAGAGGTGTGCTTTGCCAAATGTTTCTTAAGATGTGGTAAACAGAAAGGAGCACGCTATTCCATTGTGGTGGGACCCAAGTGGAGAACAGCAGACCCATTACTTGCCTTAGTCTGGATGGTATTTCTGTTGAGGCAGCTTAGTGGTTGCTTTTTTCTAGTTTTTTGGGTTGTTTTGTTTTGTGTAGTTAATCACAATGTTAGAAGTCAATCTCTAGGCTAGGAATTTTCCCCATGAAGTACTAACAAGCTGAAATTTCCTCATCCCTTATCAGTTTCAATCTGAGATGCAATGTATTTTTTATCCTTGTTAAATTCCATTTTCTTGAGTCTTGATTCTAACACCTGCCAGATCAAATAGCCTTTCTAGTTTTTATTAGAAGCAAATTTTATTACTGTGTCCCCTTTGTGGAAAAAAAAAATCAGCAGACATGGCAATAACAGAGCCCAGTGACCTTCTACCAAAGAGCCCTTTCTGAATGACATCCATCTAGAAAATCAACACTCTTTCCTTAAGGTTGTTCAAAAAGCTCCAAGGTACCTGCTTTATTACCCAACCTCCATGTTTCCCTTTTAGGCACAAGGATATCAAGAGAGATAAGTACTATGAGAAGAAAATGCTGAAACCTCGTCACCCAGTATTGTCATAATTGGCAATGAACACTTATTTCTTCAATCGTGGATTATTTGTGGTTTCTGAATTAACCATTGATCATGGCACCATGATGGAATATGTAGTCCATGGTCAAGGTTTTTTTCTCTCCTGAAGTTGACCTGTCTTGATTATACATTCAGGCAATGCTGTTTAGTGCTCCAAGTGCTAAACTCAACTCAGGAAGACATGGATTCAAATCCTGAAACTTACTAGCTGGGTGATACTGAGTATCTTTAAGTCTCAGTTTCTTTATCTGGAAAATGGGGATGGTAATATATAGATTAACTCTCTTATAAGGATGGTTATGACCATCATATGAAAAAATACATTTAATACATTTTGCAAACCTTAAGGTTACAGAAATATCTGATGTTATTGTCATACAAAAGAAGTGTCAGAGGTCAGTTAAGTGACCTATGATGGTTTAGAACACCTGAAATCTAAAGTTGTCTTTTTGCCTTAATAATCTGATCATAAGATAATTGTCAAAAGCATAGTTACTTATTACATTGAGCTGGAAAGACCCTCAGAAACCATCCAGTACAATTCATACACAAGCATGTTAAACACTCTACAAAATATCTTATTTTCTACCTCATTTTTTCTTTGAAGACATAATCTCAGGGGAGCACCTTCCAACTTTCTGCCTTCCTTATTTTCATCAATCCATTATTTTTCCTCAATTAAATTAAAGCTCTTTGAAGGAAGTGATTGTAAAATTTTGACCTTTCTATACACAGCACCTAGCCTAGTACCTAGAATGCAGTGGGTCCTTAATGAATACTTGCTGATGGACTGATTCAAGAATTGTGGAATGAAGTGTGAAAAGTGTTTTTCTCCGACCATCAGAACTAGATTTAAACTAGAAGGAGTTAGTCATGCCACACAATTGTATTAAATGCTCATTCTGTGTCTTCGCTTTCAAAACATGTCAACAAGAAGGCTGATTGGAGGGCCCAGCATTGCAAGTATTTCTCCTCCCCCCAGACTCTGGGCCTGTAATAGACATTTCCAACACTTACATCTCGCCAGAAAGCTCAATTTAGATGAAAGCTGGTGTTTTCTAATTCCATTTCACTGTAAATGACAGAGACAAATGGTCATATTACCTCGAGAGTTCCTCTGGCAGAGTAGGCAGCATATGAGTACAGCAGTCCTTGGCTGGGATCCTTTCTGGGCTCTTGGTCACATGGCTGGCCATTAGGATAAAAGCATTGGCTGCTGTCCTTCAGAGTCACCGTGTTTGGAGAAGAGCCCGGCAAGCTAAGCAGGACAGAGTAATTGAAAAGCTGTACTTCTTCTAGGCCATGAGAAGTCCACTGAACCTTGAGCTTCTCTGCAAATTCTGTGTCATCTTCACTTTTAGACAATTGTATCAAATGTCTGAGAGAGAGAGAGAGAGAGAGAGTGAGAGAGAGAGAGAGAGAGAGAGAGAGAGAGAGAGAGAGAAGCAATTAGTTTCCTTCATCTAAAAAAAATTTGATAGTGGTTCTGATTCTTCAAGTTTTATCAAAATTGTCCATCAGGTTATAACTTAGCAGACCAAGACTTAGAGTTTCGGTTGTTTTTTAAAATGATCAGAATACTACCATATGAAACTGCATAGTAAATAACTTTTTGATCATGAAAATGCGTTAAGAAAATATGCAAAAAGATAATATGTGCTCAAATCCAGCTTTGCTAGTAAATATATGAGCTGTGCACTTAAATCTTTGGACCTCAGTTTCCTCATTTGTTAAATGAGGGGTTGGACTACACTTCTCAGGGCTATCTTCCAGTCTATGGTACTACGACTCTAATAGCTGATGTTCATATAATGCTTCAAGTTTTACAATGCACTTAGGATCATACATTTAGAACTGGAAGGGGCCTGGTAGATCCTCTGGTCTATCACCTTCGCCTTTGCATGTAAGGAAATTGAAACTAGAAGAGTTAAATGACTCACTCTATGCCACAAAGACAGTTAAATGGTGGGGCCAGGATTGAACCCAGGTCCCCTGGTATTTCATTTTAACATTTTCCATGTTTCATCCCATTTGACAAAACCAAACATTACCCACTGTAGGAGCATGACCATGGTCACCTTTAAAAAATACGAATAAATAATGGTACCACGACTGATTCTATTCAATGGCTCTAAACAAGGATGGTTATTTCATGCATCTTCTATAATTGTTTCATCTGTCTATGTTATTTTTCTTGGGTTGATATCTGCAATGCTGTTGACTATTTAGATTTTAAAACCCTACTGAGTTCATGAAATGTTTTCTAAATTATCTCTAAAACATCACTAGGCATGCATGCTTATTAAATATCATCCTATCATAATACAGGGCCTGAGCTCAAATGAAATGGTACAGGATGGCATTCTGCCAGGGGTTTTTTATGGTGAAAAGTCATTCTCTTAATTTGTTATTGCTATTGGCATCAAAGCACTAACCCTCCACCGTTCTGCTCTTCCCCACTGTGAAGCCCAGTTGTGTGTGTTCAAGCCCTCTACTTATTCAAACAACTAATAACAGTACTTGCACTGGGAAAAAGGAGGGACCAGGCTGTTTACTGTAGATGAAGCAAGTGATCTATAAATCCATAAGCATTTATTAGTTGCCTATAATATCTATGACCTATTATATATAATACATAACATATATAATATACACTGGAGCTACAAAGAGAGTAGATTCATGGCATTTAGGTTACACAGATATTGGTGTATTCTGTAAGATTCCCTCAAGAACCATTGCCCAGGTATTGTCCCAGTTTTGATGCCCACAGAACTGTATAGTCTTTGTCATCCCATTCAACCAGAAAAGTATGTCCTAGATGTCTCTATTTGTACCAGCATGGCCACGCCATCTCTGAAGAAGAACCGAAAGGGAATTTACTTTTGAAATTTAATATTTTATATTCTGTACAAAATTATCCTACCCATAGTCTTTTCTACCCACTCTTCTTACTTAATAGATTTAAAAACCATACCATGAGAACCTACTGCATGTGAGTCACTATATACTCTAGAGAAACAGGTAGATGGCATCACAGAGTGTAAGACCCAGAATTAGGAAGCCCTGAATTCAAATCATCTGTGAGGCTAACTTGCTGTGTGATGCTGGGCAAGTAACTCATCATCCATAAGCCTCAATTTCTTAATCCATAGAGGAGATAGAGATTTCATTAATGGAGCTTTCAGTGAGGAACTTCCTCTATTGTATAGATTGGCACCTTCTTTGTAAGACTACTAGTGACTTATCCAAGGACACAGCCAGCAAGTGTCTGAGGTAGCACTTGAACCCAGGTCTTCTTGGTTCTGAGACCAGTACTTTATCCCCAACATTATGTAAAGTGAGGATAATAACAGCAAGTACCTTAAATGGTTGTTGTGAGGAGCACATGATATAATCTATAAAAAACACTTTGCAAATCTTAAATCCCTATATAAAGGCTAGATACTGGCCAAGGAGAGTCTGGTCTGGGAGTGTGCCTGCTGGCATGTAGGGTGGAGGGAAGAGTGTGGGGAGGGGAAAACCTGTTTCTGGAAGTACATGATGCCAGAGAGTTAAAGGGCCTGGATCTCTACTTCAGAGCAGGTGCAGGTAGACTGGGACTGTTACCTGTCTGCTTTTTCAGTGATAAAGAAAATCCTTTTGATTAGGTGCTAAGGCAGAACAGAGTGGGCATGAAAAAGGCAACTACATAGCTGGATCAATCTTTGTCTTCTTCTCATGTATAATCAAGGTAAGAAAATGGGCCTGTGGATGGAGAGAGAGGGAGAGGAAGAAGGAGAAGGAGAGGGAGAGAGATAGAGAGACAGAGAAAAAGAGACAGAGAGAGCGCACATGAGGGCACTAGCAACACATTTCTGCTCACCCAACCTGGACTGATGTGAGTACATGGCAAGATTTTTTTTCTGTCCTTGTATGTGATTTGTTTCTGATATGATTATTGGAGGTAGAATGGACCAGAAGCCAAACTTTTGAGCTTTGAAAATTCAAACAAGCCACCAGAGTTCCAGGACCTGTAACACATTCCTGAGTTAGCTAGAGCCAAGCCCAATGTGGACAATACAGCAGAGTGGTCTTGAGCCTACGGCACCAAAAGAACCCCACTGACCCTCAAAGGTACCCCTAGGATCCAGAAGGGGAGATTAATCTAGGCAAATTCTGGGGATCCAATCTGCTAGTTTTGGGGGGAGGGGGTTGGAAGAGTAAACCCAGAGCACATAATCACTACACATGCTAAAAGATACATTTCTATACATATGTGTGTATATGTATACGTACAAAGAGGTATGATAGAAAGCAGAAAGCAACAAGATCAAAGAAGAGACTTGATCAAGTTCATAAGATCCTTGACTGAGCACTGAAAGAGATTTCAGAAATCATCTAGTCCAACCTTCTCATCTTATTGGTAAGGAAACTCATTCTCAGGGAAATGAAGTGACCTGTCCAAAGTCAGGGAGGCAGTAACCATCAGAGACAGGATTTGGACTCAGTTCCTCTAACTCCGGAGGCAGAGTTCATGCCACTGTACCATGTCATAGTACCATGCCACTGTAACATATTGTTCCCTATTGACAACTGAGGAGGGAGAAATCAACTTGAGCTAAGGGGGAATCACTGAATCAGAAACACTTGAAATCAGAAAGGACCTCCGCGGCTAGTAGGTCAACTGATAACCTGAACAAGAACCCCCCCACTACAACATTCTCAACAGTGGTTATCTAGTCTTTGTTCAAAGACAACTTTTTAAGAACAGCAAACTTCTCCATGAAATCCATGAAGCCATGACATCAGTTCTCCCCTGAGTCTTCCCTTTTCCAGGCTACACTTTCACAGTTCCTTCACTTAATCCTTCATGGTGATGATTTGTCCATTATTCTCTTGGTCTTCCCCTCAATATTCTTCATTTTATCCATATTATTCTTAAATGGGCTTGGTTTCCCTCTCCCTCTCTCCCTCTCCCTTTCCCTCTCTCTGAAAGGGATTCTGTAACGCAGAGAAGGGCTGGTTTTCTTCTGCTATATTCTAAAGTCTGTACTACCAGATGTGTCAATATGTTAAAAACAAGGCTGATGTTACAGAATTAGCTGCATTTTAATCTCTGCCCTCAATTTATCAAACACACAGAAATCTTCAAGTCCAGAAAGAATGTGTCACCTAAAATCACAAGTTATTTGTTTGACAGAAATTTTTCCCCTGCCTTCATATTTAAAATAAGGGTTTCAGTGGGCCACTAGTTTGGCAGACAGCATAATGAACTGTCATGCCTGATACCTGACTTGGGAAGTGACTTTGGCATCAGTGTTCCATTGGCCAATAGAGACTGAAAGCAGGATGGTTTTGGCTTTGGTAGAGAAAATTCTGTTTATATCACTGTTCAACACCTGCTACTGGATGCATCACTGATGTCAGGGTTGGAGGAAGCGATGCACAGAGTCTTCTTAGCACTGGGGTGAGAGCCAAGGATGTACTATAAATGACTGGTGGAGGAAGACAGTGAAGGAAACAAACTACAGCTACAAGGACATTGTTGCTACATGCCCACTGGAGAATATATGTGTGTGTATTTGTATGGGAATGCATATAGATACGTCAAGAGAAGGAAAGAAGACGTACCCAGGAGAGGTATCTGCTTTATCAAATCATACTTCATTACATAGCTATTTGCATAAAACATTAGATGACCATCTGCTAATCCAGTTCATTTTATATGCTGTGCTGAAATCAGTCTGTTCAGATGGCTGGTTGCTGGAATCAAACAAAGAGGAAAAGGTAAAATGCTAAAGAGAGAAAAGAAGGCCAGTTTTGACAAGGAAAGAATATTGCTTATTGTCACATTTGAACATGCTGTCATTTAGACACTTCACCTCTGCTGTCTACACAGAGGAACAAAGCAGGTAGATAAAAAAAAAACACTTATGTGGACATCAGTGTTTTTTTTTTTTCTGAAATTCTTTCTAACCATCCGGAGCTGAGCCTGCTGGTCCAACTAGACACCCCCCAATTCTTAGATTTTCCAAGAACTTTTAAAAATGATTCTGATCTGGCACCGACAATGAAGGAAGAATAAGGGAGGGCAGAAACAAACAAACACATCTAATTTCAAACAGAAGGAAGGCAAAGGAGGGAGGGAGGGAGGGAGGGAGGGAGGGAGCAACCACCAGTGCACAAGTATTATCCTGACACTCTAGAAAGTCAGAAGCCTTTCTTTGGTAGACATCCAAGGCCTGAGCTTTCGTATACAGATTAACTATTACAAACAATAAACAAAAGGTTTAATTAATATAGATTCTTGAACTTATTTTATCTCTGCTTTCAGATAGAGTTATTATTTATATGTCATATATAATTATTATATCTTATTTCTATATATAATTATATTAT